AAGCAAGAGTCCTGGTATTTTGTTCCATTTGTTTGATGTTGTTGTTGTTGAGACAAGGTCTCCATATTTAATTCATTCTTGGCTCGCCTGAAACTTGCCATGTAAGCCAGGCTGACCCCGAACTCTGAGAGATTGGCTTGTCTCTGCCTCTGAGTGCTGGGATTAAAGTCATGCACCACCGCATCCAGCTAAGAGTCCTGGTTTTGATCCCTTTGAAAACATGCCTCTGTCTATGCCACCAAAGTGTGGATAGGGGGCCCCTGACTCCTGACTTAAACAGCAGCTATTCAGGGTCTTGACTTGTGTAATCTGTGTTTGATTTCCTATCACGGTGAGAGAAGATTCTTCCACTAGAGCAATGGTTCTCAATCTTTCTAATGCTGTGACCCTTTAATACAGTTCCTCATGTTGTGGTGACCCCAACCATAAAATTATTTTCGCTGCTACTTCATGACTATAATTTTGCTACTATTATGAATTGTAATGAAAATGTCTGTGTTTTCTGATGGTCCTAGGGTAGCCTCTGTGAAAGGGTCCTTAGGCACCCCATCAGGGTCGTGACCCACAGGTTGAGAACCGCTGCATTAGAGGCTCTAACCTCTAACCCATAAGAAGTGTCAAACCAACCATTCCCAGGAAGGTCCTCTGCTGCTATTTCATGTATACTTTCACTTTCCAAACCAAGCTTTCACTTGCTGGCCTGCGGTTTCTGTTTATATATATATATTAAGCAATGAGACCATGAACCTGGACAGAAAGGGCTGCCCGCTGACCTCCTTGTGCTCATTTCTTCAAGGAGGGAGGAGCTGCTCATTTCACACATGTGGAGACTGAGCAGCCCTGCAGCTTTATTCCCAACACGACATCTGCATTCTTACCGTCTGCTATTTCATATTTATTGCATGTGTTGTGTGTGCAGCTCTCTCTGCAGCGTGAGGTGTTCACTGAAGTGTGCTGCTGCCGGGGAAAGTTCGTGTGTGTCTGTGATGCTGGGGTTGAACCTAGGGTTCCATACATGCTAGGCAGTCTACACTGAGCAGTCAGCTTAGCCATTTCACTTCCTTCCCCACTTCCTTTCTAAGACAGGGTTCAAGTTGCTGAAACTGCACCCCCCCCTTTTGTTTCTCTGTAGCTTTGGAGCCTGTCTTGGAACTCCCTTTGTAGATCAGGCTGGCCTCGAACTCACAGAGATCCACCTATCTATGCCTCCGGAGTGCTGGGATTAAAGGTATGTGCCACCACCACCGCCCATAGCACCCGCCCCTCCTTTGGAACAGGGTCTCATCATTATGTAGCCCTGGCTCACCTGGAACTTGTGATATAGACCAGAGTGGCCTCAAACTCAGAGATCCTCCTGCCTCATTCTCCCTAGATGCCCAGGGCTGGGATTACACTTCTACATCACTATGCCTAAATTTTATTTGTTTGTTTGGTTGGTTGATTGATTTTGTAACAGGGGTCTTATTATAGTGCCCAACTAGCTTCCAGTTTCTGGGTTTACATGATCTTTTTGCCTCAGCCGCCTCTGTGCTTGAGGTATAGGCAATTACCATTGCACTGGGTTGTTGTTGCTCTCTGTCTGCTCCAATCATGATGAATTAAATGTCGAGAAACTGACAGTTGGAAGGGAATGGGGTCTGTCCTGAAAAAAGGCCTGGCAGAAAGTAGCCCTAAACAGTTGGAGAGGGACCTGTCTGGGGTCCTCAACAAGGACTAGTCTAAGTCATGGATGCCCTGGCCCTCAGAGACGCTAATGGAGAGGAAAAGGGCTTGGAGGCAGGCTGCACCCTGCTCTTGGTCTTTATAGCCCCAGCTGTATTTGGGCTGGGTCTAGATTCCCTCACTTCTCGAGTAAACGAATATAGGTCCCCTTTGCAGAGACGCAAGCTCCACCTCACCTTCTGCGCAGGCTCTGGTACCTTTTTAAAGGAATCGTCCTAGGTTCATTGGCTCCACTTTTACAAGAGACGTGGCAATCCGAAGCTTGGAGACGGCTGTGCTGGGACCCAGGACTGGTTCTGTCTGGCCTGGAGCTGACCCCAATACCTACCTTTTCTCCTAGGCTCCAAAGTTGCATCCTTTCCCATCATAGTTTAGATTTCTTTAATATTGTATCACGTTTCCAATTATATGTCTTCTGAAATAGTAGCTTTCCTTTACACAAACACTATTTGAAGGCAATTTTATTTAAAATACAAGCAGCACAGGCCCTTGGAACATATCTTCTCTCCGGTGGAAACCTTGGGCACAAGGAGGCTCCGGCTTCTTAGAAGAGGCGCTCCCCACCGCTATCCCGGTGTGATGAGGATCGGCTTTCAAATGTATACAAAATTATGTGTAGCGGGGCAATTGACTTTCTGAAGGCCCTGCCTGCTCCTTTTATGTTCGCGAGAATTAAGGCAGATCAGAGAAGCGTGGGAACCAAAGTCTGGACGCCGACAAAAGTCCTGGGAATCCTGAGGGAGGAAAGGATCGCTCCCACCTGGCGTCCAGGACTAAAAATTTAGTTTCCCTTTAGCAAAGACTCGGAAGAGCTGCGCCTGCGCGGTGAGAGCGCTCGGCCAAGCTCCGGGGGCGGGGAGGCCTCAATGCGCACGCAGGACCCTAGGCGGAGCCAATGCCGGGGTCTACCGGGCTGCGCCGGGCGGAGGCGGGGCCACAGGCGGGTCTGGGCGGGGCCTCGAGGCCGGTTTGGAATTTTTGGCGCGAGCTGGCTCCGCGCGCGTTCACGGGCCGTTCCCCTTTTGAGAGAGTGCTTCGTCCCGGTGTCCAGAGGCACCGCTGCCCGACCCCGGTCTGCCTGGCCTCTGTGAGGACCTCAGCTGCCTCCCGCCGACCCGGAACCTGGGACCTCGCTGCTGCGCCGCGCCCCGCCCCGCCCAGCCTCCCCAGGTGAGCCCACACCCGGGTGAGGGCTCCGGGCCGTGCCGCTCTCCCGCCCGGCGCTCTGCCCCGCGCTCACGCCGCGCTGCGCCCCGAGACGGCCCCCGGCCTCCTCCCCCAGTGGCCGGTCGCCCCTCTGCAGCAGCCCCACCCTTCCCTGCCCGTCACGGGCCGCCGGGCCCTCGGGCGACTCCGGGTCAGCGCTGTCGCCCACGCCCCGCCTACTCCCGCAGAAGGCGCTGGGTGACTGCCCGACCCTCCCCACTGGGAGCCCCTTTCCCAGCACTGCCTCTCTTTACACTCTGGGAAGAGCCCCTTCCGGGTGACAGCCGGTCCACGCAGTCCTTGGCCAAGATCTCCCCTCGCCCACGGAGCGAATACTGCAGCAGCCCTGCCCGGAAGGAGCTCACATTCTAGCGCTAGACGGTGGTCACTGGTGTGTCCAGCCCAGAGAGGGTGAGGACACGTGGAGGTCGCCCTGGCTGACCAGGGGCTCAGGGCCACTCCGGACTCAGGCAGGACTCCGCTACCAGCCCTTCTCACCCCATAAAGGCTGTTTGACCAGGCCAGAGGTGTTAAAACATAAATGACATTGAGAGGGGCTGCTCTTCCTGGCTGAAGACAGAGGAAGGTGATGGGGTTCCCTGAAACTGTATTTCTTCTTCTTCTTCTTCTTCTTCTTCTTCTTCTTCTTCTTCTTCTTCTTCTTCTTCTTCTTCTTCTTCTTCTTCTTCTTCTTCTTCTCCTCCTCCTCCTCCTCCTCCTCCTCCTCCTCCTCCTCCTCCTCGTCTTCTTCTTCTTCATCAAAAGTATTTTTGTTATTTTTTTATGTGTTATGGGTATTTTGCCTGCATGTGTGTCTGTGCACCATGTTCGTGCCTGGTGCCCACATAAGCCAGAAAAGCCTGTCAGATTCCCTGGAACTGGAGTTACAGATGCTTGTGAGCCACTAGGAATCAAACCTGGGTCCTCTGGAAGGGCAGCAAGAACTCTTAGCTTCTGAGGCATCGTCCCCTCCCTTCAAGACTATATTTAACCAGCGTGATCGTGGAGCCTGGCAGTATGGTTCCTCCAAGAAGACCCTTTTTTTCGGGGGTGGAAACCAAATACAGGGCCCTGACTGTGCTAGGCTGGTACTCTGTTATAACCACTGGCATCTCTGGGATGGGATTCTTGAAGTAAATAGAGCCATAACAAGAGAGTCTTCCCGCCAAGTCTCTTAATTTAAGTCCCTAACTTCACTAGGCTAACCATTCTCCAAGTGATTTGATCCAGCCACCACCCTCAGCTGGCTGTGGCAAACTTTGATACATGTGATTTCCCCTAGAATGGACTCTTTCTTTTGCTTTTAATTTGCTTTTGTTTCAGTTACAACATTGTAGCAACCTGATGCCCCCCTTTGCCCCAACAGACACACAGTTGCTGACCCCCATGGTACCGATCTGCGTGAGTCATTTCAACTACTGTCTAAATCACCAGTTATTATAACAGCTAGCATTTATGCCAGACACCAGTCTTAAATCCTTCAGCTTTTTTTAGTGCATAATTGTGAGTCCACAAACTCCTGATGCCAGGTGCTCTTCATAATGCAAAATATCCCAGATTTAGGGCCTGAGGTTATATTAATAACTGTTGGTATAGCATTTACCTAACATAAATGATGCCTGAGTTTGATACCCAGCACTGTCTAAATTGGATGTAGTTGTACATGTCTGTGATCCTAGCACTCTGGAGATGGTGGTAGGAAAACTCGGTTATCTTTGGCTGCACAGCAAGTTTGAAGACAACTTAAACTAGAGACCCTGTCTTAAAATAACAAACAGACATAAATCTCATATTTAGAAAGCACAGATGTGAGGAGTAGCTCTGGTAGAATGCTTGCCTAACATGTGTTAGGCCTTTGGTTTAATCCCTAGTACCATAAATGAATAATCACTTTTTAAAAAGCATCATAAGAAAGCATATATGTGTAAGACCACTAGTGAGACTGTGATGTCCATTCCAAGATCAAGCACTAATATTTCTGTCAGTGAATGTCAGCTGTGATGGCTCAAGTCTAATTTCAGCATTTGGAAGGCTGAGGCAGGAGGATTGCTACAAGTTCAAGGTCAGTCTGGACTAAATAGACTTCTCAAAACAAAATGAAATTATAAATACACACACTAATTAAGAAGATTAGATGAAGTCAAAATTTTTTTCCAAAATTACTTTTTCATGTACCCAGTTGTCTATTGTTTGTTGAAAAGACTTCTTTCCTTTTGAATTGTTTGGCGCTCTTTTTTTCTTTTTTGTTTTTTTGAGACAGGGTTTTTCTGTGTAACCCTAGCTGTCCTGGAACTCACTCTGTAGACCAGGCTGGTCTCAAACCCACAGAGATCTGCCTGCCTGTGCCTCCTGGGTGCTGGGATTAAAGACGTGCACCACCACCACCTCCTGGCTTGGTGCTCTTTTTGAAAATAAATTAATCCAGCTCTCTGGAGACTGAGGTAGGAGGCTGCTTAAAGCTAGCTTGAACTAAATCATGATTTCCTGTCTTGGGGAAAATAAAAAAACAAAACACAAAACAAGACAAAGTAAAAAAAAAAAAAATCAAGACAGGATCATTCTATGTAGTCCTGTCTGTCCTGGAATTTGCTATGTAGACCAGGCTGGCTTCAAACTCACAGAGATTCTCCTGGCTCAGCCTCATGAGTGCTGGGGTTAAAGGTGTGCACCACCAACTTCAAAGAAAAAATGATTAAACCATAAATTCAGAAACCTTAGTTCTATCCCCTTCATCTTTTTGTGAACAAACTTTTAATTACTATGGATATGAAGAAATTTTGAAAACCTGGAAATGTAAGTCTTCCAAATTTAGTCTTTTTTGTTGTTGTTGTTATTGTTGTTGTTCTTTTAGCTTTTCGAGACAGGGTTTCTCTGTGTTGCTTTGGAGCCTGTCCTGGAACTCACTCTGTAGACCTGGCTTGCCTCTGGCCTTGAACTCACAGAGATCTGCCTGTCTATGCCTCCCAAGTGCTGGAATTAAAGGCGTGCACTACCATCACCTGCCTCAAATTTAGTCTTTTATGATAGTTTGACTTTGGGGAGGAGGTCTGAACATCCACATGAATTATAGAATCAGTCTGTCTTCCAGACTTGAGATCTTCCTGCCTCTGCCTCTGCCTCCCAGAGGGCTGGGATTAAAGGTGTGTGCCAACTGCCGACTTGCTCGTAGTTTTCTACAGGGAAGCTAGCTGGGTTTCTAACAGGGATTGCTCCTAATCTGCAGACCGAGGCTGAGGTGAAGGCCTCTGGAGGTATAGTGCTTTAGGCAAACGCTGTACCATGAACTGTACCCCAGTCCACAGCTTTAAGACTGTTACCATGAATATGTTTCCCTTTTATTTAGGCCTTTAGTTATTTGTCTATGCTGTGTTAGCAGGCCTCTGCAACCACCAGGACATACAAAGGGTTGGTCTGTGAGGAGCAAGAAGGAAATCCAGTTCGACGTGACTCAGTAGCCGGTATTGGTTCAAACTTCTAGAGTCTGACACTGGGCAGTTTATTGTAGGCGTAGTTAAGTACAGTACAGTTTGAGAAAAGGTTTCCTGCTGTAACAATCCCCTGTGTACAATGAAGCATAATTAGATCAAAACTCTTCTCAGTTCTAGAGATAGGCTACTTGTGTTATCAGATCTGGTCTCCATCTCATCATACAGACACATAGAGGTCATCATCCGGGCTATTAGCCACCTCTGGTTCTGGTTGTGGGAGCTTGGGGTATCCAGGTATGGTCTGGCTGTATAGATAGCACAGGGGTCACCTAGGCTATTAGCTACCTCCTGTACCAACGTTCTGAGCTGAAGTTCTACGTCTCTTTTCTTTGGTAGGACAGCCCCGTGTGTTTAACATTCTGGTTTCTCTAGTGCTGTTTATGACAACCAAGGACATTTATGTTCCCAGAATATGTATTGTTTTGGTAGAAGGGATCAAAGCAGGGCCTATCACATGCCAGGGAGGTGCTCTACCATCGTGAAGTGTTACATTTCTTATTCCTTTTCTCTCCCCCTTTTTTTTCTTCCTTTTTTTTGAGACAGGATATATGTCCCTGACTGTCCTGGATCTATCTCTCTGTGTAGACTAGGTTGTCTCGAACTCACAGAGATCTTCTGCCTCCTGAGTTCTGGGTTTAAAGGCGTGCACCATCATCATGCCCAGTATTTCTTCCTAGTTTTTTTTTTGTTTTTGGTTTTTCGAGACAGGGTTTCTCTGTAGCTTTGGTGCCTGTCCCGGAACTAGCTCTTGTAGACCAGGCTGGCCTTGAACTCCCAGAGATCCACCTGCCTCTGCCTCCCGAGTGCTGGGATTAAAGGCGTGCGCCACCACCGCCTGGCTTCCTATTTTTTTTTTTAAATAATTTTTTGAGATTTACTTTATGCGTATGGGTTTATTTATTTTATATGTATTGTTTTGTCTAAATCTATATCTGTTCTACATGTGGACAATGCCAAAAGAAGTAGAACTCCCAGGAAGTGGAGTTACAGGCAGCCATGCAGGTGCTGGGAATCAAACTCAGGTGCTCTGGAAGAGCAGTCAGTCCTCTTAACTCTATCTCCTTCTTCCTTCATTTTGAGACAAGATCTGAATATGTGGCCCAGGCTGACCTCACATTTGTGAACCTCTTGCCTCAGTCCTCCTTGGCTAGAATTACAGGGATATACCACCATGTCCAACCCAGCAACTAAGACATAAAGTTTTCATTCACTAAAAAATCATGGTTGAGGGGAGTGTGCCATGGCACATATGTGGTGGTCAGAGGACAACTTTATGGAATTTCTTCTTTCACCTTTATGTAGGTTCTGGGGCTTGAACTGAGGTTGTCAGACTTGTAAGGCAAGCACTTTTACCTGCTGAGTCATCTTTTAGGTCCCCCCCTTTTTTTTTTGGAGCAGGAGCAAGGGTCTTATGTTACTCATGTTGGCCTTGAATTCATATGTAGCCAAGGATAGCCTTGAACTCCTTATTCTCTTGCCTCTGCCTCCCAAGTGCAGGGATTCTAGGTGACACTCACTGTGTCTAGCTCCATACACTCCCTACTCCTTACTTTTTTGACAGCATTGCCAGGTATGAACTTCACCCTGTTTCAAAATCAAGTTTTCCTAGGGACAGCCTTAGGACTCTATTTTACAGCCTACCTCAACCCTGGGTAATTTCTCTAAGCTGTGCTGTGGACAATGGCGCACTTCCTCCTGGCTGGCCCTGCTGCCTAAAAAGCAGGGTGCTGGGACAGGACGGAGGTCTCTGGCATTTTCTGCTTGCCTCTTCCTATGAATGTGCTGGAGCTTGGACCATGGGCTTCTCAGCCTGCTAGGCTTGAAAGTAGAACCTCCCTGTCATCTGTCAGTAGGACTGGAGAGAAGAAAGCCCCTGGTTAGTCTGTCACCCAACAGATATCCAGCCTGTGCACTGTGGAGTAGATGGGAGATGAGGAAGGCTGACACCTGCTCTTCTAGGCAGACACTAACTTTGACAGGGAGCTGCGGCAGCAAGAGCTTCACTGGGCATGTGCCCACAGCGCTGGAGACTTGCAGGTTCTACTCTTTCTCCATGTTCTCACCAAGATTTGCTAGATTTTCTTCAACTCTTTCATTTTCTATCTTTAGTAACATATCCAAAGATTAAGATGGTTGTATAGTTTTCATCTATTGTACCTGTTTCTGGGGGGAAAGGCCACAGGTCTCCTCATTTTATATGTGTATTCTAGAAGAGGGTCAAGTTTTGGAACTCAGAAGTTGTTTTTACTGTGGAGTTGGTGATGAGAGATGGCATGATTTTTCTGTCTCAGGGCCTTGGGAGAGGCTGCAGAAAGAAGGCTGAATGGGCATCTCCTGAGCTGCTGGCTTATACTGTCCCCTGCTGGGTATGAGGCCCTTGGAGATACAGGCTCATGGTTCTGACTTCGTATTTATGTCACCACCAAGCTAGAGATGGCACAGTGTGCAAGTGTATGATGGCTTTTCTTCTTCTCTGCAGGTACTTGTGGTCCACACGACCTTCATGTGGAAAGTAGAACGTGTGTGTGGCAAAGAAGTGGCTCTCTTGTGGGCCACAGAATCAAGCACTGTTTGAGTGTGGACACATTGCTCTGTGCTTTGATCCTCTAGTATTGACCATGTCCATGCCCACTGAAGGCACCCCACCGCCCCTAAGTGGTACCCCCATCCCAGTTCCAGCCTACTTCCGACATGCAGAACCTGGTTTCTCCCTCAAAAGACCTGGGGGCCTCAGCCGGAGCCTTCCACCTCGGCCCCCTGCCAAGGGCAGCATCCCTATCAGCCGTCTCTTCCCTCCACGGACCCCAGGCTGGCACCAGCCCCAGCCCCGGAGGGTGTCATTCCTGAGTGAGACCTCAGAGACCCTTCAGAGTCCTGGGTATGACCCACGCCGGCCAGAGTCCTTCTTTCAGCAGAACTTCCAGAGGCTTAGCCGCCTAGGTCGTGGCTCCTATGGAGAGGTCTTCAAGGTGAATGAAGGGTAGTTTCCCAGGCTTTTCTGGGAAGCCTCTGCATTGGTGGGATAGTGTCCTAGATAGCCTGCTGCCCTTTATTCTTTGATAGCTTGCCTCTCTAGGGCTTACAGCCACCTCCCATTCCCCACTCCCAGGCCTAACATGCACTGGCCCTTGTCCAGATCCTGGCACAACCTGCAGCAGTTCCCTGTCGCCACCTCTCTGCTTGGAGATGGTGTGCTGAGATCATGACTGGTTCTGTCTGACCTGGAACTGACTGAACCAATGCCAACCTTTTTTCCTAGGCTAACAGGCTCAAATACTGTACCCTTTCCCATTATAATTTTGTTTTCTTTAATATGGTATTAATTTTCCAATTATTTGTCTTCTAAAACAGTAGCTTTCCTTTACACAAACACTATTTGAAGGCAATTTTAATTTAAAATACAAGTAGCACAGGCCCTTGGATCACCTATCCTCTCCAGAGGAAAGCTTGGGCACAACAGAGCATACTGCCCTGTTGTTTTGGGACTAAATTTTTCTCTTAGCACTGGACCCTGGCCAGAGGGCATAGTCTGCTCCATCTCCTCTGTTGTTGTGTCTCCAGTCCACTCTACTGCAATGAACATATATCTAGTGCAGAGGTCCAAGACTGATGTGTATTCCCCTGCATAGTGAAGTCTTAACAGCATCCTCTGACTTCCCCCATTCTACCTCTGGGCAACACCTCCCTTCCAGGTGCGCTCCAAGGAAGATGGCCGACTTTATGCTGTTAAACGCTCCTTGTCTCCATTCCGAGGCCCCAAAGACCGAACTCGCAAGCTGGCTGAGGTAGGCGGCCATGAGAAGGTGGGGCAGCACCCACACTGTGTGAGACTGGAACAGGCCTGGGAGGAGGGCGGCATCTTATACCTACAGACGGAGCTCTGTGGGCCCAGCCTGCAGCAACACTGTGAAGCCTGGGGAGCCAGCCTGCCAGAAGCCCAGGTTTGGGGCTACTTGCGGGACACTCTTCTGGCTCTGGACCATCTCCATAGTCAAGGCCTAGTTCACCTTGATGTCAAGCCTGCCAACATCTTCTTGGGGCCTCGGGGCCGCTGCAAGCTGGGTGACTTTGGACTACTGGTGGATCTGGGTTCAACTGGCGCTGGTGAGGCCCAGGAGGGAGACCCGCGCTACATGGCCCCAGAACTGCTGCAGGGCTCCTACGGGACAGCCGCAGATGTGTTCAGGTAAGGCTGGGATGTGGCAAGGTCATGAAAGACTGTATGAGGCCCTTATTGAGGACTGATCAACAGAAAGGGGGACTGCCCAACAGAGGAGCTCTTTCCTGCTACTAGGGTAGGAAGGCATTCAGGCCTAGGAGGTGTTGCCCCTGCCCATTAGCTGAGGGTCACCAGAGTAAGCAACAAACCCTCTAGAGGCCTTTACACTGTAGGCTGGCCATCTGCTTGGCTAGCAGCTCTGCGGGTGTGCCCCAGCATTGGAAGAGTAGGGTGCAGCGAGATTGAGGGCCGCATCTGAGACTACACCCAGGCCCAGGGTTCTGAGTCAACACTGGCTACTACTACTACTCTGCCTCAGTTGTGGTCTGGTTATTTCTACAGAATGATGGTGTAACCCTAATATTCATAGAAACTAATTTACATGCCAGTGGGGTTCTGATGGACCTCCACTGCAACATGCTAACTGCTTAAGTGTGTGGTCTCTGCTTCACAGCAAGGTCTCCATCTTGACTGCTGTTCACTGGCCCTCTAGAGGCCTCCTCAAAGCTCCTCACCTCTTTTACACTAAGTTCATGGTTTATGGGAAAAAAGAGCAGCCTTTTCTTACCAAGATGCTGCATAGGACTGGGATCTCTGTCACAAAGCTGACTTTGCCTCTCTTTTTCTTCATGCCCTGACCTGACTAGCCTGGGTCTCACCATCTTGGAAGTGGCCTGCAACATGGAACTACCCCATAGTGGGGAGGGCTGGCAGCAGCTGCGCCAGGGATACTTGCCCCCTGAGTTCACTGCTGGTGAGTGGGGGCTCAGGAAATGCGCCAACTACTATCAGCTTCTCTGGCAAGGGGTGGCTAGTAGTAGGGACACCATTGGGCTACCTGACATGCATGGCTCTGCCTCATGAACAGGTCTGTCTTCTGAGCTTCGTTCTGTCCTCACCATGATGTTGGAGCCTAACCCCCAGCTGCGAGCCACAGCTGAGGCCCTGCTGGCCCTGCCCATGCTGAGGCAGCCACGTCCCTGGAATGTTCTGTGGTATATGGCTGTAGAAGCCCTAAGTCGAGGTTGGGCCCTGTTACAGGTAAGCCTCTATGGTGCTTACTGGTATACTACAACTGTTCCTTGCTCAGGGGATCTACCTAGTCTCCCTTTTAACTTACTGTATAGACCAGGATGTCCTTGAACTCATTATCTTCCTACCTCAGCCTCCAAGTACTGTGATTTTTGTCACAGGGCTTGATTTCTGAGGCTCCCTTTCCCCTTAGGCACTGATCACTCTGCTCTGCTGGTTTTGGCATGGTCTGGCTCATCCCGCCAGCTGGCTGCAGCCTCCAGGCCCACCGGCCACACCGCCTGGCTCTCCACCTTGCAGCCCACTCCTGGACAGCAGCATCTCCAGCTGGGATGATGGCAGCACAGGGTGGGTGAGAGTCTAGGGCATGGGGGTGGAGGGTGTGTGGATGTCCATCACTGGTCAATGCTACGTGGAAGGCGTCCCAGGCCCCCTGGAAAGGAGGATGGATGGGCCTCTGTCACACCCAAAGGACAAAGACTGGCTGTGTGGATGTGTTCATGGCTTATGTGGGCAACTGTGACATTCAGCACAGCTTTATACCAGTTATTAGCACAGGACTGCAGTCCTGACCTCTGTAGAGGTTCCCCTGTTCAGGAACAAAGTGCTGTCCTCCCCTGGGTGGATACTTCCCAGAACCTGGTAAGTCCTGTCCTGAGAGGATCCCTTTGTCCCAGGTGTCTGCTAGCCAAGGCAAAGGGTATAATTAGAAACTGCTACAAAGAAGCAGCATGCACTCTCAGGATCCCTCTTTATAGTGCCGTTTCCCTCACTTGGAAGGTTCTTTGTAACATAGCAAAATGGTAGAAAAGCTTCATTTACCAAAACTTGACATCCAGCTCAGTTGAACCTGAAAAGGAACAGAAATGACCCCTGAACATGGTCAGATAGAAAGACTTGACAGCTGTCAGTGTGTGTTTATTGTTTCAGTGACGGCCTTCTAGCTTCACCAAGCAGGGGCCTAGAACCAAGTAGGATCAGAACTGGCTTGGTCCTACCTTCCTCAACCCTAACACCCTGCTGACCTGTCCTTTCTTGTAGTCCCTCACTCTCCCCAGAGACCATCCTGTCCCGGATCACGAGGAGAACCTCTACCCCTCGAGGCAGGTACAAACCAAGGTGAGGAGGTGAGCAAGCCCGGGGCCTAGGGCTGGGGACAGTGGACTTTGGGACCTAACATCCTATTTTTCTTTCCTCCCCAAAGGGATGCCCTAGACCTAACTGACATGGACTCAGAGCCTCCTAGAGGTCCCTGTCCTACCTTTGAGCCACGGAACCTCCTCAGCCTGTTTGAGGACTCACTAGACCCAGCCTGAGCCACAGGCCCAGCCTTGGTGCTTTTAAATCTCTGACCCCCTTTCCTACCTCTCCTCCGGAAACTTCTGTATCTAATAAAAAGTAATGAATCTTGGGAACACCCAAGGTTGCTCATGTGGCTACATAGCACTTCTTGTCCCTTTATTGATGTTGCTTAGGGTCTTAGGCCTCTGGGATGATCTGGCTATGAGGCGACCCTCTGCTAGAGTGGCCTTTGGCCAGCAGACTAGAGCCACGCACTCTATAGCGATTTCCTGAGCAGACATGTCTCTGGTGGGCAGGTCAATCAGTCAGACCATGGCACTGAAGGTGAGTCCTTGGGCCAGTGAGGCCTGTATCCAAAGCCACCATTCCACATCCGTGCCTGTTGCCTAGGGAAAGCAGCCGTTCCTCTCATGTCTCTTGGCCAGACAATACAAGCAGGACCAATGCCCACTTGGTCCTGAGAGAAGGGCCTGGTCCCACTGCCCTGCATCCTGACTTCAGGAATGACAGGAAAGGTACAATTCTGGCTGCTGAGAGGTTTGGCATGCAGGGCAGAAAGACGGAGGTCAGGAAGCAGGAGCAGAGAGGCTAGTTCAAGAATCCAGGAAGTATCTTGTGTGAGTGGCAAGATATGAGCAGTGGTTCCGGGCTGGAGGCTTGGAAAAGTGGTCAGACTCACTGTCAGACATGAATTCAGAGACTCTCACGGGTCAAACAGGGTAAACTGAAGCTCAGAGAACGATTTCCTTCTAGCTGCCAGTAAAACAGTGCCTGAAGGGAAGGTAGCAGGGGGAGACGAAGAGTGGTCTCCCGGATCGGAAGTCCATGTGCTGCTTCTTCCAGGGAACCAGCCCCTTGCAGATCAGCAAAGGAGGGAAGATGGGATTATTTGTCTCAGGAAGCTGTGGGCAAGCTGGTTTGGCAGCTAGGGGACAGCTCAGTCTGGGGGACAGGCATGGTGGGCAGCCCAGAGCAGGTCAGGCACAACACCAGCATGGAGCTGGAGGATGGAGCCCACGCTGAGCAGGTGCATGATCTGGTGGGAGTTCCCCCAGTAGTCAAAGCGACCGGGCCCCCAACGCTCTGGCAGACGTGCCACATTCACCAGCCCTCCAAGCAACGCCAATGCATCCATGCGCAGGTAGCAGGGCAGGGAGCCTGGAGCCCCTGAGCCCAGTCCTACACCACGGGCCCCAAACACCAGTAGGCGGGCCCCGGCTTGCCAACCAAAGGCTCGAAGCCGAGCACTGGTGGAGGGGGCAGTGAGGGCTCTCCAGCCAGCCACACCTGACAGTGCAGTGTAAGCCATCAGGGCGGCTGGACGAAGCCAGGGTCTGCAAGCCAGAGTGCAGTGGATGATGGGCAGGGCCCCTGCAGAGAGAGAGCAGAAAAAGGATATCAGTCCAAGCTAGCTGATCTTCCCTACCCAGGGTTCCCACCAGTAGCCCTTGCCTCCACCTTCCTGGGGCCCTGGCTCACCAAGAGTGTTGACAAGGCAGACTCCACACATATCCAGGGCAAGGAGCCGGGTGTACACAGGACTGCCTCCTTGGTGGCACATGAAGAGGTGATAGAGCACAGAGGCTGCAGGGGGGACCAGACAGGCCACACAATGTGTACCTCCCAGCCAGCCATCCTTGCCCAACTGACCCCAGGGCATGGTCATTGGCACAAGCACCAGGAAGCCCAGCAGGGCCAGCCCTACAAGGAAAGAAGAGTTACCCACCAGACACATCAGCATAAAGGAAAAGCACATCTAGAAGGCATCAGCTGGGGCCAGGAAGAGAGCTCATAGAAAAGGCTGCCAAGCCTGACAATCTTAGTGTGATCCTGGATTCCACATGGTAGAAGAGAACCAGTTCTCACAGTTATCTTCTAGCCTCCATGTGCCTGGGCAGATGTACACCCACCTACCCACACATATACTAAGTTAATATATAAAAAAAAATTTAAAGTGACCTATCAAAAACACAAGACAGAGAAAGCAGACAAGAGTTCAACACTGTAGGTCTGTGGGCTCCAAATTTTCAGAAGTGTTACTGTCAGGGCTCACTGCAGGTCTCGAAGTAGAGACAATGAACCCTACTTTGAAGTGTGGAAACCAGTTCTGAGTGGCCTTGTCCCAGCTGAGCATGGCAACCAGGAAGAGGATAGAGGATAGACTAACTCCTGAGCTGTCCTGACTGACGCTGAAGCCACACAGGAGGCCAGACCAGGTCTGCCAATCTGTCCTGGAGTGTCTGCAGAAGCCTGGAGGAGCATGACCTCAGCCTGAGTTCTGATTAGGACGGGAGGGACAAACCAGACCCAGGGTTACTTAACATTGTCAAATGTCCAGGCAGATAGAGGCTTTGGGTCTTTTTGTTTTACATAAAGAAGGAAGGTCAGGAAAGGCCAGAAGGAAAGGAAGGGGCCCGAAATAAGCTTATCCTATCTCTATTGGGGGTGTTTTTAGGAGCTCTGTTCCTTCCGGGTGCTGGCCTTTCTTGGAGATTCCCACCCTTCCCCACAGGCAGTTGGCATTGCCCTAACAGAGGACAAAAGCAGGCATCAGCCTCACTCTTGGTGGGGGTGCGACAAAAACAATAACGTGCTCCCTCTCCTTTAGGGAAAAGCACAAAGCTAAACCTAACTGGCTCTAGTCCTCTCACCCAGCTGGGGCGGCTCAAGGACAGGCCAGGGCTGTGTCAGCAGAGCTCTAGGGGCCGCAAAGGGGAGGGGGGGAAGGGCCACCATGCGGAGCCCCACGGTACTGCTAGGGTGGCAGGGACTTTAGGCCCCCCACGAGGAGGGGCTTGGGCCGGGCAGGGGCGGTCTTCTTCTTTCTAACTCCTCCTAGCCAGTGAACGCCCATCTCCAGGACGAGCGCTAGAGGGGGAGGGTGCCCAGGACACAGGATTACCAAGGAGATATTAGGATCCTTACCCCTAGAGCTCAGCGGGATTAAGCTGGCTCCCACTCTGCTCCCCTCTCCTGCCCTGGGGCACTGTTGGAAAAGCAGAAGCTGGCAACGAAGCTTGGGACAATGGCAGCTTTGTCATCGCGGCGCCCGGCCCAACCAGGGCAGGGGCAGCGTAGGACTTGGACTCGGGGGGCTGCTGCGCTCACAGACAAGGCGGCCGCGAGTGCAGGAAGCATAAAGCATGAGGTAGTCGCTCACCTACCGTGTGTGTAGATGTTGCCCAGCTCATTGTGTAGGTAGAAGAGGCTGCGCAGGCAGCCCGAGCCGCTGCTGGCCGGCCGGTAGCCAGTCAGTACGAACTTATTGAACTGCAGGTGCGGTGGCGAGCTAGCCCAGTCTAGCAGGCGCGGCCCGGACAGGAACGCCATGGCCTCACGCACTGCGGCGGGCCAACGACCCTCTGCTTCCAGGCGTCTCCCTCAGTGGAGTCACAGAGCTGGGAAGCTCATCCCAATTCACCTCCGTGCTGTCCGGTCGCCCAGCGTAGGGTAAACCGGGGGTCCCGGCCCTCTTCCCTCTCTCGCTGCGCACGCGCGAGCTCGACGCCTCCGCAAGGGAAAGGAAGCTGGAGACCCGGCTGCTGAAGCTCAGTGCGTCCAGTTCCACCGTGGCAGAGCACCGCAGGGAGCGATCCCGTTGGCCTCAACGGCAGCACGGCTTCTAGCCGCAGCCCTGAGGACGGGCGCGGCCGGACGCTGGAGGGGACGCCAGGCTCCACCCCGGCTCCTCGCCCCCGCCACCCTGCCCGTGTTTCGCGCGCTGGATTCCTGACGCTCACGTTGTAAGGACCAATGGGCGCTGCGGGCGGGGATGCTCCGCCCCGAGACCGCCCCGGCATTCTCTTTTTAACACGAGCGGTTCCAGCCTTCTTTGCATGGGGTGCCGGGCTTGGGACGCAATGTTCTGGGTTGGGCTTCTCTACTGGAGTGGCCTGGCACCTGGCGTCTACCAACATTTCACACCCCAGCTTTCTTAGTGATCTCCAGGTTGCCGCACCTTTGGATATTCACCTCGAGCCTGGCTACCCATGGCCTAAGCCCATAGTCAGACTCTGTCCAAGGTGCTGCTGGCTAAGGCCCCTCCTGAGAAGTCCAGCGCAACGCTGGCGCGTACCCACTTTTAAAGTATGCCCCTATTGGCCAGGTACCCAAGCGTCTAAGATGTGTGACGCACCTGAAGCTCTTGGAGAGGCCCAGCCCTTCCGGCCAGGCTTCTTAGAGCTTGGGTTCCACCCAACTCTCTCCCTATTATCGCCCACAAGGCACACCCTCCGCTGCTGGGTCCGGTACAGACAAGGAACCGGCTAAGGCAGGAGGCCAGGGAAGAAAGGTTGGCTCTCCACTCTTGCGAGTACCAGAAAGGAACTTCTACCCACAGCCGGCTTCCACTTCCTCTCTCACAAGAAAGCTCACGGTTGAAACGCCCAGCATCTCACCTCCTACCCGACACCCTTATTAACACAACTCCTCCCTCACACAAAGAACTTGCTGAAGACTACCAAAATAGGCCCTTTATTTTAAATCTATGGTTCTCTGATCAGTCTTCAGATCACTTTTGTTGACCCCTAACCTTTCATCGAGGGCAGCAGTCCGGGACCGTCCCCAAAAGAGGCGCAAAGAACCCTGAAGCCCGACACCACCTTTCACATCAACGTCCAAGGATTAGGGTGTCGGGTTCCTTTTGCCCTTTGGCTCGCTTCAACCATCTGGACCCCAAGGGTCAGACCAAGTTCTCAAATAGCACTGGATGCTTCCTGTCCGATTTCCGGGTCTCCCCGAGATGACCAGAGACCGAGCGGCCTTTAAAGGGCACAAGGAAGAGGTAGGGTGCTGCATAGTATCTCAGGTGTCCATCTCGTTGGCAGAAGTTGTGATGGACCCCGGACGTCTGGTGTCAGAGAGCAGAGACGAGGGAGCGCAAGGAGCTCTGGCTGGAGGCACTGAGGGGCCGGTAGGCCGCAGCAGGACCCTCAGCCTGAGAGTCTCCTGGGGGACAGGGCAGGGCCACCCCTCGGGGCCGGCGGTACCACACAGCCCAGCTTCTCCCGGGGCCCCGGGAAGGTCCCAAGGCCAGAGACCCTTTTCCTGGAGCCAGCAGACAGCTCCTAGAGAGGGAGCAGACGTCAGCTGGACCCATACTCGGTCTTGCCTCCAACATCCTGCTCTGCCTGCGAACCCACGTGTAACTCTCCCAAGGCCACGCCCCCTCAAGAACCCAGGACCTTCTTAGCTTTGTTTCCCCGTCCCGGCTCCCCACTAGAGCCCCCACACCCCAAGCACGAGGCATCAGGCACCCAGTGCGGGGTCTGCCCTCAAGCCCTGCCCCAGCGCCCGCACCGTCGACGCAGCAAACGCAGCAGCGACAGGAGCAACAGGAGCAACACGGAGATGGCCGTCACGGTGGAGAAGACTCGGGCTGCAGGCACAAGGATGTGATGAGGACAGGCCTCCGAGGGGCCACTCCCTGACTAGTTCCCACCTTGCAAGCCAGCCTTACCCCCTACGGAAGCCTGTGCATCTCCGGGCTTAGGGCTGCAGCTCACGTTGGCACCATCCGGGTCCCCTGCAGGAGTCTCGGCCGAAACCTTAAGAGATGCGCTGTCCTCCACTGTGTCCTGCAGCCCTGCGGAGAGAGGTATGAGGCGAAGTGGCCAGAAGTAGGGTTGTGTTGGCGGGGATGAGGAGGTGGGCAGGAGGGCTAGCCCCTGCTCACCACGGTAGGTGAGAGCGAATCCTTGAGCATGGCCTCGTGCGTCGCTGCGGAAGGTGAGTAGTAGTGCAGCAGTGCGCAGGCGCAGAGGACCAGGCGGCGGAGGGTGGACGCCATCGAAGGCGCGGAGCAGGTTGCCCGACGAGGCATCGCGTAGCTCCAGCCGGTCTCGCGAATCGGCCAACTCGAAGAGGCGGAAGGTGAGCTCTAGCGCAGCGCCCATTTGGCCCAGTACCCAGCTGCAGTTCCGATCTGGCCCATACTCATCCGGAAAGTCCGGGGAATAGATGACACCCTGAGGCGCCGTCCAGTTTCCCTGGCATGAGCCCACGGACACTGTGGGCGGGGGAGATGGTCAAGAACCTGAGGCCATCCGGGCTCTTTCTTTCCAGCACAGAGATCCCCCTTTCCAAGTAGGCCTCGTTCCCACCCCAGTACTGGCATCTGGCACCGACTAGTTTCTATAAATAGGCCCCACCTTCCGACCAATCCCTTTATCAAGTGCGGGCTTCACTATCAGGTTCCACCTCATGCTCATTACAGATCCTGCCTTCAACCCTTGTCTCCCGATCTTATCCCACCCCAGCGTCAGGCTTCCCTGATTACACTCCCACTGGGGAACGGCACATCAAATCCCACTGATGCTCCTCATTCTGGTCCACATCTCACCTTCATAGATGCCCAGTCTCCCATCGCCTCCACACAGCTGGCCTGGGTGGCCGAAACAGATCTGGTCACAGTCGGTGGCAGGGGCTGGCCGTCCCCGAGCCAGGTCGCTTTCAGAGCCACAGAAGCAGGCATAACCAGCCTCCACGCCAGCCAGCTGAGAGCACAGACTGGGTGACCCCAAAGGCAGGGATGGTGGATATGGGTAGAGTAGTGGGGTGGGAAGTAGGGATTGGTGAGGTTCAGAAGTTAGTGTCAAGTTCTGGCATCAGTGTTGGGAGCTGGGTAGGGCCCTGAGGTCAAGATAAAGGGTCACTGGTCTGAGACCAAGGACAGTACCTGGTAGCCCTTCATGCGGCAGAATCGAAGGCACACCTGGACCGTGAGCTTTGTGGAGGTGCCACTGGGACCACTGAGAGCGGGGGGTGCCCCAGAGTCCACGAAGCAGCCTAGGTACCCAGGCACTGTGGAGGAAGCAGAGTCAGAATCCCACCTCTGAAAGCGACACCCCACCCCCCACCCCAGGCTCCTGCGCTCACTCACTGTGACAGGTGGGGATATCACAATAGCGCCAGTAGATGCCCTCCTCCGTCTCTGGCACGTAGCACCACGGCTGCACATCACCGTCTGGGTTCCTGTGGTCAGAGGGAGGTGGTGAGGCACCTACTACCCTGCCCTGTAGCCACCACATTTGAGAGGCCATTCTCTCTCTCTCTCTCTCTCTCTCTCTCTCTCTCTCTCTCTCTCTCTCTCTCTGTCAGGACACATTCCAGTTTTCTCCTTCTGCTCCTAGACTTTGACCTCCGAGGGGACAGGGAAGTCGCCCTAAGAGCCTGGAGAGTTGTTTTCATGTGTTTGGCTTGACCTCACGGGAGAACTTCCTGCCTTTACAGTGGGTCCTCACCACTCCCTTGCATAAAATGTCTAAGAAGTACGAGTAGTAACCCCTCAGCCTTGTGGCTGGGCAGCAGGTGACCCCCTTTCAACCCCTGACTGATGCTCCAGAAGAAAGCTGTGACTTTGAGCCCTCCTGTTACGGGTTGTAGATGCGGCTTAAGTACTTCAAGAACCATTCCAACCGTCCCAGGGTTCAAGTTCAACCAGATCAGACGTCCAGGGGCCCCTGGTGTAAACCTTTTGTCCTGGCCCTTGGAGGCTTTGCAGAAAACTCTCACCTATGCCGGACACATCCTTAGTTCCAAGCTTTTGCGAACCTGATGAACCTAGTATGAGATGGGCCCGGCCCCTAAATCTTCCTGAGGGTCCTGTACCAGGCCAGAGCAGACCACCTTTCTGCCCCGCCTCCAGCCACCACTGGTCCAGCCTCGCTGACAGCTCCGCCCCGCTGCTCACCTACAGAAGTTGTGCGCGCCCAGCCCCCAGCGGCCCTGAGGATCGCTGGCGCTGCTGTAACTGTGCTGCTGCGTCTGGTCCCAGAAAAGACAAGGGCGTCCGGCTCCGCGCGGGCCCGTGTAGTTCTGGTGGCCCCGGTAATCAGCGCCGTTCACCTGGAAGCATTCGGACAGGCCTGCCCGGCAACCGTGAGATTTTGGAGAAGTCTGGATGCTCACTGGGCCTCCTCACTTCTCGACCCCCAATTCCTGCCTAGTCCCAGTCAGTTCCCATCCACGAGGGAGCCTTCGGACTGCTCCGCTGCTCTGTCCACCTGCTCTCCCGCCTCCCCAGTTTTGAGGCCCCAGTCCTGGGCGCAGAAGTCCAGAAGCCCAGCAGTGACTTTGGCCTGGCCGCTGGGTCTAACTCACCTGGACTATGAAGGCTCCCTGCTGAGGCTCCGCGCGGCTGCAGCAGCACCGGGAAAAGGAAAAGGAGGCACTGCAGAACCAGTGTCCCCATCTTCCCTAACCAGAGAGATGTTGTCTGGGCCAAAGCACGGCCTGGGACGCCCCCGGGGTTGCTCTAGGGTCTAGGTGACCTGAGGGGGGCGTTGTCCTCTGATCGTCTGTCCTGGTCTTACTTTGGTCGCCGCTGCAGGTTGGGGACCAGGGAATATCTTCCCGGGATCTCGGCCCGGTTGTCGCTCCTCAAGGGTCTCTGGGGGAGGTATCTGGCCAGAAGAAGAGCTCAGGCTCCGGTTTCTAGTTCTGGGTTGGGCCTGGGTCCCCACACCCACCCCATCGAATTGTGTCTTGCACCCTGAATCTCCCTCTCCCAGGTCTCTAAAGCACTGTCTCCTGCCCCGCTTGTGTCTGTCCCTACAGGTCCCTCCCCTCTTCTCTTCCCCTCCCCCGGGGAAGACTAGAAACCCCGCCCGCGATTGGAGCGCAGACAGCAGGTCCAGACGCCTCCCACGCCTGTTCCCCCGGGACCCCCAGCGTCCCAACTCATGCCTCTCCATCCCTTTCTCCTTTTCTTCCAGGGTTGGTGTGGGTTCTATTGGGAGGGCATGGAGGGGGACTGGACACCCAGCTTAGCAGACCTCTAGAGGATCTTAAAAGAGAGTTACAAGCCTCCCTCCCGCGGCAGCACCAAGCCAAGTGGACACAGGCACTCTAATTCAAGTGCACGCGCGCATGTAGACCCATTCAATCCACTCATTCATTGTAAGACGCTCACACGCACATCTTCTCCGAGTCCTCACGCTCGTCTCTCCCCAGGTCCCGCCGCGGCTGGCTTGAATAAGGAAGGGGCACTCCCTGCCCCTGATCGCGGGAGACAGACAGGAATCGTGGACGCTACCCGCGACAGGCAGGGGCAGCTGGTGTCTGGGGAGGAAGGCAGCTGTGCCCCAGGTTCCAGCCCGCCCCCTCTCCCGCTCCCATTTCTTCCACTCCCTAGGACCCCAGCCCAGGCTCTCCGGAGCCTCGCCTGCGGTGGAATTCCCCCAGCGGTGCCCCCCACCTGGCAGGGGAGGGGGAGGGGAGCAGGCCCAGGCAGGCGTGGGGGGAAATTCCCCGTCCCATCCCCCTGAGCCCAACTCCTCCGAGTCCTCTGATCTCCCAGTGCTGCCCCGGGGCTTGGGGGGAGGCCAGCGCAGGTGCGTGGGAGGGCGGGGGCGGGGACCCAGGGAGGGAGATGGGGGGTACCCTATGCAGCCCTACCCTGTTCAAACCCCTTGCCCATCAGGCCTGCCTGCCCACCCTTTACTAATCCCTGTATGTCTAGTCCCTTGGGCCCAGGCTGACCTGGCCCAGCTCTAACAATCCCGCCTCCCCACCCCCTCCGCCTAACACACGTCCTCCTGAAGCAGATGGAGAAGCAAGATTCCTAGGGAGGATTCTGAGATGTCCAAGCGTTCGTGGCAGAGATCAATAATTAGCTGTGGGAATCTTGCAGTTGTGCAGTTGGCACTTCAGGCGAAGGTTCTTGGGGGGTGGAGGGAGTGGGGTAGGGATGGGGTATTCCAAGGAGAGGGGCTTGCTGAGGTTGTAGGTGGTGAGGGAGGGGTGCCTCCTTTGGTAGCTCACTCAGTGGCCAAGCTGAGCTCTGGGCTAGGAGTCTCCCTCTTGCACTGATCCCACCAGAGCCCTCCAGACGCCTATCAAGGAAGTCTCAAGTTGATCTGTCGGTCTTGGGGTTTCCTTCCCTTTCCACCTGAGGGCCAGAAAAAGCTGGGGGCTCTGTAGTCCGGACCCCTCACATTTTCTGTGAGGGCCAGTCCTTTGAAGGAAGAAGTGAACGAACAGGAATGAATGATGGCAGTTAGCTGAGGAACGACTCCTCCCTGGCAGAACCATGCATGGGTTGCCCTAAAACAACCCTAAATAGTTTGGGGAAGATCCGCCCAGTCCTCTCCCCTGCAAAGGGGCAAGAGAGGGAGGTAGTGCCCCCGGTTACCGGGCTGAGGACCCTGAGATGGGAGTGAGTGAGAAGTGTCCCTGCCACAAATTCCAATCTGGGGTGGCTTGTGGAACCTCTGAATAGAAAGGCCTTGCACCCTGCACCTCTCAACATACACTTCCCCAGCATTCCACACTCTGCACGGTACAGGCAGCAGCCTGTCGCATTCCCAAGGCCCTAGGGGAAGATTTGTACCGCCCCATTCTGCAGATCTGCGGACTGGGGCTCAGAGGCCCTTGGCAACTGTGGGCTCACTAGCTGTTCAGTGTTGGAGCCCTGTTTCAAGCCGAGTATGATCTAGGTGCCAGGCATTGACACCATTGTCCCTATCACACATCCTTGGAGTTCTCTGAGTCTACAGGACTATGTCGCTATAGAGGGACACCAGGTATCTTTCTCAGTGTACTTTTAGACAAGGTCTCACCTGTAGCCCTGACTGGATCGGAGCTTGTCATAATAGAGCAGGTTGGGCTGGAGCTCGCAGATTTCCCCTGCCTCTGCCTCTGCCTCCCAAGTGCTGGGATTAAAAGCGTGTGTCACCATGCCAGCCACCAGTTCTTTTCTCTTGACTAGAAGTCCCATTGCCTCCATGCACCGCCAATGAGAGCTGCTATCTCACAGCGGTCACCCCAGTAGCACTTTTTGACAGCTGGGAAAACCAACATAAGGCAGGAGTTAGCCCAGGGTCATAGTGTCTAAGACCCTGACCCTGTGGACATAGAGTATATCTTGGCCTGTTACTTCCATAAATAAATTTGCATATACAAACCTGTCATGTGGGGACAATAGAGAAAAAAAAGAACAGAAAATTTGGGCATGGGGACTAGAGAGATGGCTCAGAGGTTAAGAGCACAGGCTGCTCTTCCAGAGGTCCTGAGTTCAATTCCCAGAAACAGCATGGTGGCTCACAGCCATATGTAATGAGAGCTGGTGCCCTCTTCTGGCGTTCAGGCATACATGCAGGCAGAACACTGTATACTAAAAGGAGGAGGAGGAGGAGGAGCAGGAGCAGGAGGAGTAGGAGAAAAGGAGAAGAAGGAGGAAGAGGAGGAGGAGGAGGAGGAGGAGGAGGAGGAGGAGGAGGAGGAGGAGGAGAAAAAGAAAAAGAAAGCTTGAGCACTCAGGTTTGTCTGGTCCAGTGTGGAAAAGGTGAAATGGTGGAGACATTGGGTGGAGTTACCTGGGGTGCAGGGTGCACTTGAGCCCATTTCATTTGTTCTTGGGGGGTCTATCAGAGTGAGGGTGGACCCTACTGGAGACTCAGAGCAAAGGGAACTCCAGAACTCCCAGTGTAGCGTCCTGGTCTCTCAGCAGTGATCCCGCCAGTAAAGACAGAACTCCGAGCTGTCTTTCTGTGTGTGCGTCTGCATTCAAACCCCCCCTCACCACCTCACCCCACCCCAGAGGCTGCTCTCGTCCTTCTCACGGCCTTCGTTTCTTGACATCGCACCTCTCCTGCATCTGCCTTCACTTCACAGGTCACAGATGAGACATTGTGTGGGTGCTGTTTGCTGTTCGGTATCTCAAGAGCATGCCATGACCCCCTGCCAGTTTTCTGGACCTAGCTCCTCAGTCTGTATCACCACCTGGCCAGTGTGGGAAAGCAGCGCACAGCCTATGCCTCTGTGTTGGGAGGATTGTGCGATCAATTCAGAGGACCCACACTCTAGATCACACCCACCTCCTTGAGCTGCTGCTGTTGGCTTGTCCTAAGTGCTATGGTCATAGCCCGTGCAAGAGTGGAAGACACTCAGAGGTGGAACACCCACTTGACTTTGTCCACCTACTGTGAGATTTGACAAATTACTTGAGCCTCCTTGGCCTACAGCAGGTTGGCTCTCTGGTTACACCCGTTACCAGCCTCCAGGGGGCGCTGGAGAACTCTGTTTCTTGAGACAGCTCGTGATTTATTGGAAATTATCTTTGTGGACTAGGTTGACAATATTGAGAGGTGGAGTCAGTTTATCTGCTCCGCCCATGAAATTCTTCTGGAGGGACCTCAGGAAGGGCGGCTACTGAGCTGGGGCTATGGGCTGTGCTGGTTCTTCAGGGCCCCTCCCTCACAGGAGGCCTGGGAAGGAAAGGTTTCACTTTCGAAGGATGAGATGGCTAAACAGAACCGCCCTGTTTGGTCATTTGCAATCAGGCTAGCCTGGAGGTGCTTGGTGCTACAGTAACTGACTTGAGGGGACATTGGGAGTGTGGAGGAACCTCTGGAAAGAAGATTGAGAGACCGGAGGCCCAAGAGTGGTTGGTGAGGAACCACCCATGACTTGGTTTCAGAGTCCACTGGTTTGGAGCAGAAAGGTGAGAACTGCATCCTGTCCAGCCTCCCTTCCTGCTTCCCCAGACCTCTGATTCTGTCTCCTCTTTTCTCAGGAAAGTTATAGCATCAGCTGGGAGCTACAAATGCCCCGAGGGGTCCCAGTTGCTGCTGGAGTCCTGGCCCTCCTTGCTCTCCTGGCTTTGGTCTATCATTGTCTCAATGAGGTACCTTCCTTCTGACTCCATGCCTCTGCCCACAGCCATCTCCTCAGAACCTGCTTCCCTCCTCATGACTCTCTCTGTGCCCAGGCCTGGAAGTCCAGATGGAGGCTTTGCTGTGGGAGCTGGAGGTGCCCTCCAACTGGAAAGAGCTTGCAGTTTGTCTTCATCCACAGCCTGAATGAGGGCCAGCCGGGAATCCTCTCTTCAGAGCCTTCCCCAGTGTCCCCCGAAGGCCCTAATGGCACCAGGACCGCTCTTCAGCTTCGGGTATGAAGAGGATCCCTCCCTCCGTGCTCAGAGCAGGTTGTAGTATCTGCCAAGCACCCTGCGAATATTTGGAAAACCATTAATATGGATGGAGGACTGAGCCCATGAGAGGAGGGCAGTGTGACTGTAGGTGAGGTGAGGAGTGCGGCCTTGTCCCACAGGAGTCTGGCCCAAGGGAGGGAGGCACTAGTGCAAGTGTCTCGTCTCTGGCTTATGGCAGCAAAGCTTTCTTCTCCCAAAGCCACCCTGAAGAAGCAGAGGTTCTGGTTACTCCATCTTTAACAGTGGCCTGTCCCCATGGGTGTGATGTCATGACACAGCCAGCACAAGGAAGCTGCACCTGACCTCCGTCCACTCCCAAGAGCTTTGTCACTGTCCCTGCAGAGCTCTCAGCCTTTGCAGCCCCGAGCTTCCTTGGTTCAGCCTAGGCACCAGAAAGGTCAGGGCCTCCTGGAGCATGTCTGGCATCCCTGGTTGCTGAGCACTAAGCCGGTGAGCTTTCTGGGTCAGGTCACGGCTGCAGCCGACCCCCTTGCCTGCTTTCCCAGACTAGAAGCACTGGAACCTGGACTCCTAAGATCCCCAGAGCCACCCGAGTTAAGGGGAGGTTAGTTAGCTTGCAGTAGGTAGAACTGGAAACTGTCCCCAAGATTCCTGTCCCTGGAGGTCCACGGGCTCGTGAGTCAGTCCTCTGGAATGCAGATGTAACCATGAGTGCACCACGCTCTTCCCTGATGAGGCTGTGCTATGTGGTGGAGGGATTGGTGTGGATTCATTAGAGTCTCTAATTAATTAAACTGTCTGCGTTAAGCAAGAGGTGGGGCCAGGGAAAGTGGGGCATGCCTGTGGTCTAAGCTAACTTGGCAGGGTGAGGCAGCAGGATCACTTGAGTCCGAGACATAAGGCCAGCCTGGGTAACAAAGCAAGGCCCTGCCTTAGCTCTCAACAGGGACTGCTGTGTAGCTCAGTCTGGCCTGAGCTGGCTATGTAGCCCCAACTGGCCTCAAGTCTGCTTTGAGATCCTCCTTGACTCCCTGAGTACTGGGACTACAGGCGCATACAGTGCGAGACCTCGAGTCTCAAACAAAACAAACATTGCTGCGATGGTGAGCCCTGATGACCGGATTTGGCGTGTGACCTGTCCAAGGGTCTGCTCTGCCCAGGAGAGGATGAGCCAAACAAACGGGATGGTGAGCCCGGATGGCCGGATTTGGCGTGTGACCTGTCCAAGGGTCTGCTCTGCCCACCACTGCCCAGGAGAGGATGAGCCTCCAATGTGACACTGCCACCTTGATTGCAGCTGTGTGACCCCAGGCAGAGGACACTGTTCAGCCTTCCGAGTCCTTGTTCACCAAAAGCATGAGATAAAAAATAGGAGGTTTTGGCAGGAGTTGTTCCTGGCAATTTGTTCTAAAGTCATAATGTGTGCCAAACAGGACAGGCTGGCGGGTCTGAGGGCAGTGAGGAGTGAGGCCACTTTGGGCAGGGTACAAATGCCCAATGCTATCAGGAGAGCCTGCCTAGCTTCTACTACCCTTTTGGGCAGGGGCCCCTGCTGTGGTCAGGTAGGTCGCACTGGGGCTGTTAGAACCCTCCAGAATGAGAACACAAGACTGGCCTCCCCCGAGTACTGTACATCTTCTTTTGGCCTTCCGGAGCAAGGGGCTGTAGGATGAAACGAGTGAGAGAGAAGGCCTAAAGCCTGTGTATCCTAAGTGGGTCCTTAACTACATCTCTAGCATCCGGCCCTTCAACCAGGCAGTCATAGCTGATGCCCAGCATGGAGAGGACTCCATGGCGGAACTGCGGAGCCTGCACTGACAGGTGGCTGAGGTGGCTCCTGGAAGCACAGGCGGGTGTGGGAGTTGCTGCTGTCACAGGTGAACTGGAAGCAGAGAAATGGGGTTGTATACTAAAATACCCACTGTTGCAGGGTGGTGACAGTGCACACCTTTAATCCCAGCACTCAGGAGCCAGAGGCAGGTGGATCTCTGAGTTTGAGGCCAGCCAGGTCTACAGAAGGAGTTCCAGAACAGCTACTCAGAAATAGGGCTACACAGAGAAACCCTGTCTCAAAAAACCAAATCAAACCAAGCACAGACTTGTTGAGTCTGTTTGAAACCCTCTTGTCTCTACCTACCCAGTGTAATCCACCCGAGATTACAGACATGCGCACTGGGCCCAGTTTTTCACAGCGTTGTTGGGAATCTGACTCAGATCCTCATGGCTGTAGCGAGCACTTTCCCCATCCCCAGACTGTCTGATCTCAGGTGTAGGCCCAGGGTGGCTGGTAGTCAGGGCTGGGTAACGGGCTGAGAAGTAGGCAGTTACCTGTCCAGATGGTTGGTATCCAGGGTCTCAAGAAGCAAGCCTGGCCTTGGTTTGGTGTACCACTTCCACTCTGGGCTCACCTCAACTCACTCAAGTGAGCTCATGAAGGATCCAGGCACGTGGACCACTCTTCAAGTGTGGGGATAAGCCCAGCCCATTAGGAGGCATGTTTGCCTTGGGCTAATATTTACATATAAATCTGGCGAGCATGAGCCCGCCGCCCCTTCTGTTTTCCTGTTCTCCGCGGGAACCCGTGGTTCTGTAAGTCTATTTCCCCATTAAAGCTATATATATTATTACAATCTGCCTGCATTCATTTACACCGATACATTCAAGCCTTCCCTACATCAGCAGATCCCCTCCCAGTCTTGGCCTAGGCCAAGCAAACACCATGGCCCCGGAGTTGCCAAGCAAACCCATTACTTCCCCAGCACTGGGCAGAGACGGTATGCGGCTTTGTGGCAGCAGCCTGTTGTTGCAGAGTGGGTGTCAACACAGCAGCTCTGCACCATGAGATTAAATAGGGTTTATTGAGGGAAGAAGAGGAGCAGAAGCCAGTGGTAGGCACCAGGCCGTCAATATCCCACAGGGGTGGCTGCTTCAAGGCTTGCTTGCAGAGGAGCATGCAGCTCTATGACAGGGTAAGGACAGCTCTGTCTAGGGTGTAGCATGCAGAAAGTTCTGCAGTTCCCAGGGATGTTAGTGTCACCTGTAGCATGGCTCTTTGTTCTGCTAAATTCTTCTGAGAGCGGCAGGCTTTGACGCCATCTAACTACCCTTGTGTATCAGGAACACCACGTGGACAATTCTCAGTGGTGCAGCTGCCCACAGCATGCCTATCTGCTGTCACCTCTTCCTGACATCTAGGCTGGCTCCCTCCAGGAACTTCTGCTGCCCTGAGAACTGTGGACAGGTTTAATTGAAGCTAGGACAGAATGTAAGATGCAAAGTCTGAGAGAAGGTAGGGCAAAGCCTGGAGACCGGCCGGCTCTGTCACAGTTGGGGCTGATGGTCTTAGTAAGCAGTGAGTGACTGAAGACCAGGAAGGCTCCAGCATCTGTCCCAAAAAGATGCAAAACACAAAACAAACACCCCCACCCCCCCTTGACTGGTACTGTCTTCAGAGGGTGTCAAGAAGTTCCAGTACACACCCTGGCTCAGGACAAATTCATTGGTGCTGAACTCTATGGAGCTCACAAAGGCCACACCCAATGGAGAGCTGTCTGTAAGGCGCATGCTCTGGAAGCAGATGGGTGCTGAGGCCGTGGGCAGCAGAGTGGGGTTGAGGTATATCAGTCCAGACACATTCTCTTCAGCTGTCTAAGGTGATAAAGGCGGCAGCAGCATGCCACGGCTCTGCAGGCTACCCATCGGCTTCGCACTAGTCTTTTGCCAACACAGGGTACCACCCAAGGCCCAAGTAATCTTCCTGGGGACCTCTGAGGAAATGTGAAGGCCGTCGATGCTCTAGAGAGTGAAGGAGTTGTCAAGCAAATCTGAGTGGATGGGAAGCGCCTGCACCGACAGGAAGCATCGGGGGTGTTGGTGGCTCCTCTGTTCTTTCAGAGAAGACTTGCCTCATCAGGACCCGTTGCTCAATTTTTGCTCTTCTTTGATGTTCCTGATGACAGAAAAAATGTGTACCATTACAAAGGTTTTATTTAGCTAAGAAGTGGCTGCATATGCCTTTAATCCCAGTACAGGAGGCAGAGGTAGTGGATTTCTGTGAGTTCAAGGCCAGCCTGGTCTACAAAGAGAGTTCCAGGACAGTCAGAGTCACAGAGAAAACCTATAAGAAACCCTGTCTCAAAACAAAACAATGAAAAACAAAACCCAAAGATTTATTTAAGCCAGGCATGGTGGCACATGCCTTTAACCCCACCCAACACTCAGGAGGCAGAAACAGGCGTATCTCGTGGCCAGCTTGGTCTACCTAGTGAGTTCAAGGATAGGCTGGGCTATAATTAGAGACCCTGTCTCAAAAAACAAACAAAACCCAAAAATCAACCAACAACCACATGAAAAACCACAGAAATCAAGCACTCAGGAGTCAGAGGTAGGCAGATCTCTGAGTTCGAGGCCAGCCTGGTCTACAGAGTGAGTTCCAGGAGAGGCAGTGCTACACAGAGAAGTCCTAACTCAAAAACAAAACAAAAAACAAAAGCAACAACAAAAAACCCCCAAAGATTTATTTATGATCTAGGTCCGACTTTTGCTTTTTTTTAAAGCCCTATCTCACTATATAGCTGAGGAGGCTTGGACTGGCCATGTAGCCCAGGCAGGCTTTGAACTGGTGCTCTTCCTGACTTGGCCTCCTGAGTGCTGGGACGACAGGCATGTTCTAGTTTATTTTTCCTCAGCAAAGATAAAACTGGTGCCTGAGGTTCTCCTGAGAGCCAGCAGACTTGTAGTTACCCAATACACTGTCACAAGTCACCCAAAGGAGCTTCTGGGAGTCAAAATTCTAAGCGTGTCTGGGCTAGGTGGTTCTGACTGGCCACGAAGTTGAGATGTCACCAGGACCACAGCCACCTGAAGGCTGGAGGGCAGAGGGCCCATTTCCAGGGATTCCTGCTCTAGCTTCTTCTTCAATCAGTTCCTGTGCCTTTTATCACTCCTGGGGTAGCTTTGTAGTTCGGGGCATTAAATGCAGGGTCTCACACGCCATTGTCTGTAATAGCCCACGATTCTTTTACTCATCTACTTATTTATGTATTTTTGAGACAAGGTCTTGCTATGTAAACTAGGCTGGCCTTGAACTCATAAAACTCTCCCTGGGTCTCCCTCCCTGATACACCTATCTATCACTTAAGTTTAAATCTTTGTGTGTAGTACATGTGTGTCTATATGCCATGTGCACCCTCAGAGGCCTGAAGAGCATGACAGAAGCCTGTAAATGGCAGGACACGAGCGCTGGGATCCAAGACTGAGTCCTCTGCTAGAGCAGCCAGTGCTCTAACCTCTGCGCCATCTCTCCAGCCCCAAGATTCTTTTCCACTCTGTGTGGCAATATGACCTCTTTCTTCCTGCTAGCCATTTATTTTTTTAAGGGTTTATTTTGTGTGTTGAGGTATTTTGTCGCAAACCACATGTCTGCCTGACAGAAGAGAGTGGTAAAGCTCCTATAACTGGAGTAACAGAGGGTTCTGAGCCACATGTGGGTGCTGGGAGCTAAACCTGGGTCCTCTGAAAGAACAGCAAGTGCTCTTAACCTCTGAGCCATCTCTCCAGCCCAGTAAATGCTTCCCTTACCAGGAACTGAACCCGGTACAATAGTGAGAGCACACTTTTGTAATCCTAGCACTTGTGAGGGCAAGATAATCAGAACTCAAGATGTCCTAAAACATCCTGAGATTGATGCTAGGCTGGGCTATATAGACACTATTTCAATGATAAAACAAAAAGATTTGTTTATACAAATAAAGAGAACTGGGCTGGAGAGATGGCTAAGCGGTTAAGAGCATTGCCTGCTCTTGCAAAGGTCCTAAATTCAATTCCCAGCAACCACATAGTGGCTCACAACCATCTGTAATGAGGTCTGGTGCCCTCTTCTGGCCTTCAGGCATACACGCAGAAAGAATATTGTATATATAATAAATAAAGAAATATTTAAAAATAAATAAATAAATAAATAAAGAGAACTAATTTTCAATTGAAAAAAATTATTGCAAACATGTGGTGGTACATGTTTACAAACACACAATCACTGCATCCTTCCAGGGTAGTCTATATATACATATTTTTTTAAATCAGATTTTTCAGAAGATAATGACCTATAAACTATTGAGCGGTCTTAGAAGAGGAAGATTAAGCCTGGCATGGTGGAGCACACCTTTAATCCCAGCACACAAAGGCAGAGGCAGGAAGATCACTGAGTTTAAGGCCAGCCTGGTCTACAGTGAGTTCTAGGACTGCCAGGACTGCCATTACAATGAACACTGTCTTGGCGGGGGAAGGGAGAACAAAAAAAAAAGGAAGATCAATTTGAAATGGGATCTGATCTAGACTAGGAAGACGGAGGTATGGTTTCAAGTTTTCAAGTCAATGGGAAGGACCAAAAAAATGAGAAGATGTAGGTATTGTTTCATGACCATGGGAAGGGATCAATAGGAATGAGAGAAGGTTCTGGAATGTGAAGTTGGGCCCAAAGTTCCTGGTCACTCAGTACATACTTTTCTTCTTCTTCTTGGCTACACTGGGGAGCCGCTCGCGCTCCCGCTGCCGCAGGGCCTCCAGACCATCCAGGTCAGGCGGGTGGCAGTGGCTCCGCATCACCATGACCCGCCGGCCCTGGGTGATGGCTCGGCTGCGACAGCCCAGCCGAGCCTGGTCCCGGCACATCCAGTACACCTTCTCCCCGGCCGCCTTCTCCTTCCTGTACAGGAAGGACTCATACACTAGGAACCGACCTCCAAGGGATGTCTGCAGGAACTCCAGGGGCTGCACAGGCTCTGTAGGGCAGAATCAGGCTGTGAGCCAAGGGTCAGCAGCAGGAGCTGGGCCCAGGAGGATCCACTCTGGTCCCTATCCCCTTCCCTTTGCCTGCCTCAGGACTCTGGGACTAACGCTCAGCCACAGGAGACTCTAAAACACACCTGCTTTCCTTTGCAGGGCGCCAGTGTCCCTGGAGCTCTGCTGAGGCCACCCCAGACCACAAACTCCATGCCCACTGGGGTCTCCCAGACAGAGGAGGTACCTTGCTGGGGGCCTGTCATGACCCTGTCCACCAGCTGTTCTTGACACAAAGCCATTCTCATGCTTTTTAAGAAGCTCAGGTCAACGGCCATGTGACATTGGGGGTGTGTCCAGAGAGAGCACATGAAAACAGATGGCTGAAGCAGAACTGGTCCAGGGAGACGACAGGAGAAAGAGGCGGCCCTGGGATGCAGGGTCTTCAGCGCTCAGTCATGAGCATGTGCACTTCTGGTGACTGACCGCCATGCCACCTCGGGCCTACCACCCCTACTTTTTCTTTGGACCAGAACTAGTCTCTCAGCAATAGCAATCCATTGTGTGGTAAAATTAGTGCCTCAAGCACAGAGCCAGGAAAGGGATCAGGATGTTGTAGGGCAGTCAAGAGAAGTCACTCTCCCTCCACATACCTGGGCCTTCCCAGTTGGTCAGGTTGGGGAAGTTCTCCCGCTGTCGCAGGGCTTCCAGGCCACCCATATCAGGTGGGTGGCAGTGCCTGCGCATGACCATCACCCGCTGGCCCTGGGTGATGGCTCGGCTGCGACAGCCCATGCGCGCCTGGTCCCGGCAGGTCCAGTAGATTTTGTCGCCCGTCGCTTTCTCCCGCCTG